GGGCACTATTATATGTTGAGGGAACTCCTCACCAAAAAATTTTTTTTTTTAATTTATAAAGCTTTAATTGAGCCGCTGTTGAAATATGGGATTCTGGTGTGGGGAGGCGCTAAGAGAGTAATATCAAGAATTTAAACTGCACAAAATTCAATGCGAAAAATAATTTTTTAAAAACCCATACTTTTTTCAACAGTCCAACTTTATAATGAGCAAATTATAGACATAAAAACTATTTTGATATCGACTTGCTGTTCCCACATCCAGAAATACCATTGCAAACATTCTATAACGAACCATAGATGTGAAACCAGGAACACTAAATCAACAACTAATATTACCTAAAGTAAATCGTGACTTAAGTAAACATTCTTCTGCGTTTTTGGCAGCAAAATTCCACAACTTGTTGCCAGTGGAAATGAAGAACAAAAACTATCTTTTAAAAAAATTCAATAAGCAGGTGTTGACTTACATAATAAAAAATAAACAAAAGTTTTTCTAAACCAGAAAGACATATATGGAATATATATGGAATTGGCTTACTGTTTTGGAGTTTGTCTGACATTATTGAGTAGGTACTTACTTTAATTTAAGAAATTGGCATATTGTACTTAGAGTTGAAATATTTATTTTCTTTGTTATTTAATTCTCCTAGTTATAGCTTAATAATAAATTTAATTACTTATAGTTTTTGGCTTTTGGCACACTTTGTTATTGTTGAAATTATAATTCAATTCTACAGGTTATAATTGAATAAATTGAAATTGAACTAGTGTCGGAGTGTAGAGTGATGTGGAATAAATTATTTTTGTAATAATTGGACTTTGATTTTTGAATAAATGGGCCAAAGATTTCTGTCATGCACCCCAGAGCCGTGACATTACAGTAGAAAGAGTATGTTAACTATACGACTGCAAACAGTCGAAATCCAGAAATGTTAGTCGAATGAAAAATTCCTCATATCAACACCGACGGCAGCTTGAAATCGTTATCAACAACAGAAATGCGACTACAATAAACGGCCGAAAATTTCATCACTCTATAAGGACACTGAAATGCATAGTATTGCTGGTAGCATAGACCCTGGTAGGAAACTGGAGGATAATGAATGGAATCATTATCGATCTGGGTTCTCATTCTTGAAACAGGGGAGCAATGTTCCCAGGAGAACGAGTGTTCCGTCCTTCTCAATAATATGCAAATGATAATATGAGTAACAAAGACGGAACACTCGTTCTCCTGGGAATGCTGCTCTCCTGTTTCAAGAATTAGGACCCTGGTTGGAGGTATAGACGTTGGTAAGGTAGTGCATTAGTGATGCCGTCTCGTGAAGTCTCGACGAGACGTGACCAGACTCGGCGAGAGTCTCGCGTAGTCTTGAGTCTCGAGATTACAATTAAATTTTTTCTTTCATAGCTTTATTATTTCGGTTGAACTGAAAGTTAGATCTGAAGATACCTAAATTACGTAGAAAGCATCCTATTGATTCACAAAATACATACAGGGAGTTTCTTTTTCAAAAACTGTTTTGTCCGACATATTCTTTTTTATTTGACTTTCATTTTTTTTCAAATATGCAACCGTGACATCTTTACTGTGATTTTTCACTTTTTAAATAACTGCTTTTTCACTGTGGCAGTTTGGACTTTCGTTATAATACAAAAATAAAAACCATAAATACAGAGTGTCCGGAAAATAGCGTAAACGCTCTCCACGTAGTAGGGGATCCTTTGAGAAACCCTAGAAAAATAATTTAAAAAATCATTGATAATATGAAGAGGTTAATGTGAAAATTCAACTTTGTTATTTATTTTTTTTTAAATGTTTTTGTATATGACTCCATAAGGAGTTTGCAAGTGAGGAGATGTATAAAGTAAAGGCCGGTTTATACTTTGATTAGTAGCATGTGCAGGTGTGTAGTTATAGTCTTAGATTGTCGAATTGTAAACGGATCTGGCAAGTGATTAGTGTTAAGTGATAAGTGCAAGCTACCAAGTAAATAAAATCGTGTTCTATTTTTCTGTTTGGTGACACTCAATATGTCAAATTAACATTTGACACTAAACACTTGCAGTTAAGAAAATGTAAACCGGCCTTTATAGCACAGAAATGTTTAAAACACGTCCTAAGGCCGGTTTACATTTTGTTAACTGTAAGTGTTTAGTGTCAAATGTTAATTTGACATCTTGGCACCCGAATGCACCGTATGGACTTGGGAGTTTAATCTCGCTGAGTTCGAAAATTTTTACATAAAATAGAAGTCCTTATCTGGTTTTAGCAAGTGATCTGGATTAAGTCCTTACGGCGCATTTGGGCGTAAGTGTTACTAAACAGAAAAGTAGAACACGATTTGATTTACTTGCATTTGTAGCTTGCACTTGACACTAATCACTTGACAGATCCGTTCACAATTCGACAACTAAACACTAGCACTACACACTTGCACTTGCTACTAATCAAATTTTAAAACGACCTTAAGGTAAAAGCGATAAGTGATTGTTGAATTTTGTAAAGCCAACAGATTAGATATAACTTGTTATTGTTGGTAAAGTGAGTTTTAAGTGAACGGGCGTAATTCGTGACAATACTAAGGGCCGGTTCATTTACATTCTGATAAACTGTCCTGTCAGGTATGCAATCTGACGGATAAAAAAGCAATATCCAATCCAATTGGTCGACCAGTTATCCGCCGACTAATAGAACTATGGAACGCTAAATTTATCTTGAAGATAGTAACCAGCAAGTTTATCTGAAGATGAATAAACTGGGCCTAAATATATTAAAGTGGTCCAAGTATGCTGCCGTGGGGTAACCCAGAACTGCTGCATTCTGTTCGTTACAAACGAAAAATCCAGTGGTAATGCAGTTTCTTGAAAACAAATATTTGTTAGGATGACCACCCAAATGTTATGAGGAATCATGCCTAATGTCTTAAAGTAAGTAGTCTAGAAGACCCAATCACCGGCATCAATGGTGTGAAGCAATACTGTATCCATATTCATATCATATCCATATATCCAAATTTTATATTGATTGCACAGTAGTGCAATCAATATAAAATTTTAAGCTTAGTCCACACCAAAGAAACACATAGGAACATTTTGTTGTTGGTTGCCGCAACCTGTTTGTGGAAACAGAAACAACAGCAAAAGTTCCGTTAACCTGCTGTCTATACCATGGTTACTCATTTTGGTGAATGTTCGTTGTGTTGCTACAACGATAAACGCTGTGTCTACACCAGTAAGGTGTAGAGGGTATGTTTCTAGTTTCAAAACAGTGTGGTGCGACGACGATTTAGATACACACAACGACTAAGTTTCGACTTTTGGGAACAAGCAACAAGGTATTCACACTGATAAAAATTAAGTAGAGAATCATAAAATGTTTACCAATGCTTCTATATTTCCTTTATCGCTAAATATAGAACAAGCAACCTATAGGAACTTATAGGAACTTTCGTTGCTGCAACCGTAAACAATAAGCAACTTGAATAAACTTTTGGAAACATACAGAAACAACTTCCAGGAACAGGCAACATAAACACAATGTTCCTGTATGTTGCTTGCGGTGTGGACGCCGTAGCTTGAGAGTAACTCCAGTTTGAAAGTTGCTGTAAAAAAGGACCAAAGGTTTATTCATCGAATGATCCACTACAAAACCTTATTCAGTAAAAAGTTTCAAATTTATATAAATCATATCAAGCTATGTCCACACCAGAGAAACACAGAGGAACATTTTGTTGCTGGTTGCCGCAACCTTTTTGAAGAAACAGAAATAACAGCAAAAGTTCCGTAAACATTATGTTCACACCATGGTTACTCATCATAAGCTACGTCCACACCGAAAACAACATAGGAACATTGTGTTCATGTTACTTGTTCCTGGAACTTTTTCCAAAAGTTTATTCACGTTCCTCATTGTTTACGATTGAAGCACCAAAAGTTCCTATTAGTTGTTTGTTTCCATATTTAAACAAAGATCGAAGGAAACATAGAAAAAATGGTATTTTTTTTCTCAACCTTTTTTTACACACGTTGTTTGTTCCCAAAACTCGAAACTTAGCTGTTGTGTGTCTGTAAATCGTCGTCGCAACATATTGTTATTGTTTCGAAACTAGGAACACACACTGCTGGTGTAGGCACAGCGTTTACTGTTGCTGCAACACAACGAAATATTCACAAAAATAGGTAACCATGGTGTGGATAGAATGTTTACGGAATTTTTGCTGTTATTTCTGTTTCCATAAACAGGTTGCGACAAAATGTTCCTCTGTGTTTCGTTGGTGTGGACATAGCTTAAGTGAATGTTTTTTTGTGTTGCAGCAACAGTAAACGCTGTGTCTATACCAATGCTGGCTGTGTGTTCCTATTTTCGAAGCAATGTGGTGCGACGACGATTTACAGCCACATAACAGCTAAGTTTCGTGTTTTGGTATCCACACTCACACTGATAAAACTGAAGCTGAGAAACAAAAAATGTTTATCAATGTTTCTAAATTTCCTTTGTTATTTGCCGCTAAATATGGAAACAAGCAACATGCGAAAAAAAGTTCCAGGAACAAGCAAGATAAACAATGTTCCTATATGTTGCTTTCGGTGTATATCCATACTAATTTCTCATTCTGAACTTTGACCTCCTTTATCTTCGAGAGCAAACAATGATAAAAATATAAACATAAAGCTTATCTACAATAACCTTGGTAAAAAAAATTTCGATCTAATTACTACCTAGCTAAATTTTAGACAATAATCAACTTTTTCAATTATTTAGAATGCGTGCTGAATCATTTTTGATTAGGCTACTTATTTTTTGACATCTTCTGGTCAAAAAGCCAGACCACCTTCTGATCAAAAGGTCAAAATATATGGCGTGCTTTTTTTTTGGAAAATTTGTCATGGATATGTAATGAATGTATGAAATTCAAAAAGAGTGAATTAATAGAAAATATAATTTTGGTAAACTGCGTAACCCCACATAAGACCATTTTATTAAAATGCGCTCACCCTTTTAAGAAAAGCACTAAACAAGTAAACTGAAGCACTAAAAACAATTGCAAGGACCCATAAATGGTATTCAAAAACCCCATTTGTCCCAACAGTAGTAAACTGCAAGAAAGTCCACAAATAGTAAGTAACATACTAGAGATCACTAGTGTTGTACAATAAGGAAGAATAAACACTAAGAGCCATGGTATCATTATGTGATTTTCTCAAATCAGTACAAATTGATGATAAACTAATACAGGGGACTTATGGAAGAGAATAAAAACATCAACATAAAACTTGTGAAATGTTTTAAGTATCCAGTTCAATATTTCATAGTTTAACAAATTATCATATTTGAATACTAATTGCAACTGTTAATTAAATCTTTATAGATAAGCGGGATAATTGAAATAATAATTGGGTAATCTTGGAACACAAATTTTGATATTTCCCTGGTATAATAATATGTAATAATATTAATAATATAAAGTGGCGGATATCAAGAAAACTGTCATCTACATAATGGTCACGTCCTAATCATTATAGTTGTTGTAATTTCCATAGAGTGCAAATATTATCAGTGAAATATTTATTTGGAATTAAAACTATTATCTATGTGTTTCACAATAAAAAAAAAAAAGGAAAATTAATAATGCCACTTTGAAATACTACAAAGTTACAATGATATCTTATGAACAGTAGCGGCTTGTGAGAGTCCCGGATAATGGATGCACTCTAACAGAGATCTCGGTAACCATAAGAGAGACAGAGAGTTGGATAAATTTGGAAAAAGTTGCGCATTACTATTGATATTTCGGAAATTCCTAATGATTCCGAAGATATCCATAAAAAAAAGGGAAACTGGATTTTGTCTTTTGAGGATTCCTCAAGAATGAGAGGTAACTGTCTTCCATCGGTGTAGTGTCTGGAGATCGCGGAGGCCCGTTAATGGGACCACTAGTGGCAATTAATAATCCTGGAATTCGGAGCTTGATATGTCGTTGAATGTAGAATAAAAAGTAGAGTTTATTGGGCATAAAATAACAAATTTCGACCAATTGGAAAAACAAAGTTGATAATGATCGCGAAGAAACGAAACGTCTGATCAAAAACCTAATAGCAGTATCATATAGGTAGTGGATATAAACTGGCAATGAGAATGTGAAGTTTATTTTGCGATATCATTTCAAATGAAGTCAGAAAAAAAAAACGATTTCGGCAAAATTCGGTTTCTTATGAATATCTTCGGAATCATTCGAAATATCGGAATATCCGAAATATCAAAACATGACGCCACAGAGTTCAGTAATGCGCAAGTTTTTCCAAATTCAACCAGCCCTGTATCTCTTAGGGTTACGGAGATCCCTGTAGAGAGCATCCTTATCCGGGACACCCTGTATATATTTATTTTCTCTAGCACATGTATGTTGATTGTAGAAAATAACCAACAAAGCAAGTGCCTCCTAACCAGGGGCGGCTTCTCAATAAGTGCGCTCGTGCGCGCGCACTGCCTCCAAAAACCAAGCAAGAAAATAAAATTAAAATTTTGGAAAGAAAAGAAACTTCAATTAAAAAATACCTACCCAATTTTCTAAATTAGGATAAATATCTACTCATTTTTCTATTTTTAAATTCGCACGAACGGAACGAAAGCGCGCCCTGCGCCTGTCTTGTATATTTTTTTCTCCCGCTTGGTTGTGCTGGTGGTCCGGGTGGTCGGTGTGGAATCGTCCGGCGCTCTGGGTAAATGTGTTTTCTCGCTGTGCGATTGATCGGGAATATACGGTAAGTCGCCCGATGAAAGGGATGCGCCGTGCGCTATTTGAATACACACTTCCAATGTTGTTTCCACTCAATCGAGAATATTTCGATGTTTTTTCACCATTTTGGCGGTTTGACAACTCTGTTGTTCGCGGTTTTTTTTTTAATTATAAATTTCAATATCAATTATGTATTATGGCTAGAATACAAACATTCAAGCCTCATTTAAATACATATATTTTTGTTTTCGATAATTTTTCCTAAAGTAAAAAGAAAAAAAATCAACATACAAAATAAATGTAAAACAGGACGTGGCACCTCCAAAAAATTTTCCAAGACCGCACAACCACACTAGGTTGCCACTGGCCGCCACTGCTCCTAACACAGGACTTGGTTTAATGTATGCTTCTTAAAGCATAATGCTAGACTGCTGTTTATATTACCTTTGTTTTGATTTGAAAAAAGGACGGTTCTAGAACGCACAGTTGATCAATCAATAAAAAGACAACGGCTCGGCTATCAGAAATTCCGATATCAAACTGTGAGATTGTTTTGGACCGTTCTAGAACCGTCCTTTTTTCGAACCAAAACAAAGCTATTACTTTCTAGGCACCTATGTAGTTTCACTTGCTTCCTTACCACCTATTCAGTTGCAGAGGTCAACAATATTTAGGAAGGACTTTAAAAGTATAGTGGAAGTGAATTTGCATTTGGCGACAATAATGTGGAGGTAAAGCAATGTGGAGTCCCACAAGATTTGCATCTGGGGGGCTTTATTTGAAATTGATGCAACTTTGCGTACACGCAGATATGACGCAAGTGACGTCAGTTGCGATTGAAAAAGTGCATGTCAAATAAGCCGTGCACCAATTTTTAATCACGAATGACTCATTTGCTTGTACGCAAAGTTGCATCAATTTCAAAAAAAGAGCCCCCCTGGAGTACTTTTCAATTTTCATGAGGAACCATTCCAACATTTTTCAATCAAGTAACTTCTTGTTGCCGACAGTCTAAATGGAAATGCATACAAAAGAAGATGAGCTTAATTATGTCCAAAATTGAAAAATCTTTAATAAGAAGGAATTGTTAAACTTCTTGAATATTGTCGATTTGAACCAGTTTAATAGAGTGACCAACACCAATAATAATATTTTGGATCCAGTATATCGTATATGGGGTATGGAGCAAAATACATTTGCATTTCTCCATCAGGAAGAGCACTATAATTGTACCTGTACTTGTACTACCTGTAATTTAATGCTTATTACAAACTCTTGCTACTTTAGATTGTGATAGTGAAAGATCGTTCCGTTTGATTGCCGCTAACCATGCTATCCGTCTTTTTCCTGATATTTTATTTAAATGGGGATAATTTATTGAACTGTGAAACTGGTCACGCTCGGGATCCAGTAGAGACGCATTGTCCTTTTCTCGGCGGCTTCCACATCCCACAACCAGACACTTATCTGGCATTTTAAAACACAACACTAAACAATGCACTAAACACACACAAAAAATATCCAGTTTCTGCCTGACTAAATAGAATACATACCTATAGTCAAAAGATATTTTATTAATCAAAATCAAACTTGCAAGCAAAACTCGAAACAAAATAACTAAAATACGCATAAAAACAAATATTCAAAACAAACTTGCTTGGCCTCCACGCCATATTGAATTTTTGATTTGACAGATGGATTGGATTGCCTAGTACTACGGTGAAAAAGTGAAAATAGACCTGTTTCTGCAGAAATCACAAGCCAGTCAGAGTGAATTTCATTGATTGAAACTAGTTTTCTGACTGTTTTCAACCAATGAAATTCGCTCTGACTGGTTCGAGATTTCTGCAAAAACAGACCTAATATTGTCTGGCAAAGATACAGTGCAATTATCCGTACACTTTGCACCAAATGGGATTTTTTTTTTTTTTTAAATAAGGTTTTTGAAAATTTAACTTGGGAATCTGTGATTCCATTATTTTGTCAGGTTTGCACACTGAGGTCATTACGTCACTGACCATGCGTGTCAGATTTGTCATTTAAAACTTCAAATTGGAAAGAGTCGTTATTTGCAAGGAAATCTGGAAAAAAATACTGAGAAAAAGTGTCTGCCTTGCATTTTTACGTCTCCGTACCAATTTTCACGAAAATTTGGCAAAATCCGTTTTCTTCAATATCTCCCTCGTAACATTAGAGTCGATATTTTTTCCACATATAGGTTAATGCTCTTGGGTACCTACTTATTGCTTGAGGTTTCGCTGAACGTTCAAAAAAAAATTACCTTGAAATTAGGCTGAAAACGATATTTTTAAAATAGCCGTATTCTCGCGAAGCTTAAACCGAATTTTCGCGACAAATGTAGTTCATCCAAGGACGAACCATAGTTCGTCTGTGACGTCATGAGTTTGAACGCTGGCTAGAAGCTGCATCCATGCTTCCGTCGAACTACATTCAATATGACGTCATGAGTTTCTCGCGAAAGCGTTTGTGTTCATGAAATCATGGAGGTAGGTAGTTCGTCGCGAAAATTTGGTTTTAGTGCAAGCTGTTTTGATTACTGACATACTCATATTTCTGGCGCAGCAGTATTTAAAAAAGAAACATTTATAATTTCGTAATTCAGTCAAAGATTTTTTTTTTTAAATTGCCTATATGAAATTTTATGATTTTTAAGTTGAAATTCAAGCAATCACAATTTCATAAGTTAAGTAGGTAACTACTAATTGAATTTGGAATTTAATAAACATCAAAAAATACTTAATACCTATCTACATCATTACCTGGGAGTTTTTTGGTGGCCAAATGAGCCTTGTTCTGGCTTCACAACTTCTCCCATATGTTAGAAAGATTTTTTCAGGTTATGACCAACGTGAATACAGGGACACAACGGTCCCTGTTTGGGAATCGACCCACTGAGCACTGACCCAGACATCCCGTGCCAATCCTTGACGCGTTTCGTCCTTGTTAGGACTCATCAGAAGGACATAGGCAGAAGCTCCCTGTCCAAGCAAAATTGAACTTCGTTGACCAGTCAGAAACCACTACTCCGAGGGCAAATACCCCTACCGGCGTTGAACTACACTGATTGGTCTGAGCTTTCGTTGGCAATGAAAATTGTTAGAAAGATTTTTTCAGGTTATGACCAACGTGAATACAGGGACACAACGGTCCCTGTTTGGGAATCGACCCACTGAGCAGTGGACCCAGACATCCCGTGCCAATCCTTGACGCGTTTCGTCCTTGTTAGGACTCATCAGAAGGACATAGGCTGAAGCTCCCTGTCCAAGCAAAATTGAACTTCGTTGACCAGTCAGAAACCACTACTCCGAGGGCAAATACCCCTACCGGCGTTGAACTACACTGATTGGTCTGAGCTTTCGTTGGCAATGAAAATTGTTAGAAAGATTTTTTCAGGTTATGACCAACGTGAATACAGGGACACAACGGTCCCTGTT